TTCCACTTGCGTGGTGTGACTGCAGAGCTAACAATGACTTTCTCAGAGTAATACAGGCATGCTTCTTCCCATCCTGCCAGCGTGGCCTGAATGCAGCAGTAGAGGTCTTAGAATAACCTAGTGACCACAGAACAACCTCATTAGAGTGAAGTCTTGAAAAAACTGGCAAAACAAGATCAACACACATTGATAAAAGTACACAGCTCAGTCCTTCCAGACAACTCTCCATCCCACCACAGCTGGATTATCCTTTTACAGCTCACAAGCAACTCCTGTTATTATTCAGGGCCTATGGCGTTCCTAGAATGACTTAATTGCACAAAAACAGTGAGGCCGCAAGGCGCTGTGGGCGACCAGCCTAATGTACCTAAAAGATTAGACAGCCATGAGCTCAACAGTCACAAGCACGGACAAACTTGCGCACATTCATGCCCATCCCCCCTCCTTAGGCAACTCTCCACTTGGTTACACAACATATACAGGGATTACTCTTCATTGCATGAGATGAGCTGCTCAATGAGTGGCTTTTATCATGGATGCCCCTTTGTGCACAAAAGGGGGCATCCGTGGCATGACAGAGAAAAGACGGCAGCGGTTTTACCTGCTGCAGAAATACACAGTGGTCTCATGCAGACATCAGAAACTACCTGAGCAGCTCCACTAAAGAGCAGAAAAGCAAAGATGAAGAGTTGTCATTTTTAGGGCTATTTTCAATTACTATAGGTTATTATTACTGTTGATTTATCCTCCATGGTAGGCCTGAGGATCCACTGTGTACCCACTCTCTTTTCGGTTCGGATTGGCTAGTGTGGGAGACACTGGAGTATAATCTGCTGGCATTAACTTGCTCTCTAAAAAAAGCACTCTCGACAGGGATTAGATTATCATGGCAAGGTCAACTCAAACTCACTCCGACTGTCTCCCTTTATGTCTCTATCACTCTGGTTTTACTTTATCGGCCTTCCTCTCATCGTTCGGCCTCCTGTCCATAGGTGTAAATTCGAAGACACTGATTTCATTGTCACCTAAATGCGAGTCAAGCCACTAAGTAAAAGAAATGACAGCAGATTAAAGGAGATTAAGCCTACAGAATAAGGCCAAGAGAAGCAGTAAATCAGAACACTTATTAGAAAATGTTTTGTTGATTTAAATTATGTAAAAGTATTATTGTTTTGTTAAGCCTATTTATGATTATCATCATTTTCTAGTTATTTTTCTGGTGACTAACTAATAGGTTCATCAAAAAGGAGGCTGTCACTGTAATCTTATGCATCTTAAATTGGAGATAAACTTTAGCTTGAGTTGATCCTCAGACTAATGAAGATTGAGCCCAAATAATGGACACAGCCACTTTAACTGTACAGTAAATATTATTTTTATGACAGGTTTGCAGTCAGAATTAATGTCTGCATGCAAAAAGTGCATCAGAGGCTGAGGAGGCTGAATCACTCCCCTGCAAATCAGAAAGAAATTTGACATAATTTTAACTAAAATAAATACAAAATGCTAAAGTTGATATTTCTAATCAAACGTACTTTAAGTTGCTTTGGTTTTGCTTTTTCCTGACATCTAATGTTGATCTCTATCTGCGTAAAAGATCATAATTCTCAAGTTACGTAGTAGATAATGATTTGTAACGACATGTGTGTGTAATTTCCCGTTTCCTGATGATTAAGGTAAGGATTGAAAAAGCGTAAGGGGATACCTGCTTAGCGATTTTACCCTGGAGCAAAAGAATGACAGCTGGCAGGAGGGTCTGGATTAGGTTTCCCATAGGGGTATTGCATCTTTTACACCACCACTTCTTTGGAATAGAATGAGCCGATAGTAACCTGATTCCTCCAGACCCATCCAATCTCGTCTCATTGGTCTCAATGGGACCAAACAGAAGGGATCTGTGAACGCCTTACTCATCCCTCCCATCTTCCATCTGCCAGTGTCTGCACTCCAGTTCCTCCACCGGAGACTTAAAGGCCATGTTCTTCTTTCTTTTCTTTATTGAGGAACCTATATGAATCATCAAAAACTATAAATGTTCTCCGCCCATTCAATTCTTAATTGTGCTAAAATAAAGAAACGCTGCTTTGTGGTTTTGTAAAAAATGACGCAGTAGCTAAATTAGTGTTGCCCAAAGAACTGATCACAATAAGCTCCTAAAGAAAATTCAATTTGTTTTACATTTACATTTTCAGAATTTTTTTAACATAAATATGAATATTTTTCATTTGTAATTAGAAGACAAATTTCCTGATTAATTAATTTGGTGTCGAAAAATTAGCAAACACGTTATAAAAGTTAAAACTTTGAACTTTAGAAAAGAAAAGAAAAAGCATGTTTAAATATTTTACATTTATAATTCTCTTTTTTTGTTTAGGAAAAAATAGCAATTTGAGTAGATTTACTTGCTTAAATTTTAAATGCTTAAGCTTGTCCCTAAAGATTTTCTGTAGGATGATGTTTCTCATCTGTTTACATAAGGCCCAGGTAATGTGACCACCACCACATGCTCTGAATGCAGCATGTGATCCATCTGTATGATGTGCTGTTAGGTAATCACATCAAAAGAGAGGATGCACACTCAGCAAGAACGCGTACGCCTTTTAGCCACAGATTCACCCGCTGCAGACATTTGGCCCACTGAACAGTGCAGATGTTTTTACGTCTAAGTGTAAAGCTCAGTTTCCTGTGTTTAACCCACTCAGAACTTGTTTTCTTTTTTAGGGGTTTTTAGTTGTTTCATTCTGAAAAAACTAACTCCACTGTGATTTGCATGTATGTTAAACATAACTGAAAGATTGTTACACCTACTATAGATGTTACACTGAGAAATAAATTGACTAAAGCCACTTTTCCCTCAGGGACGAGGAAATCTTTCAAAGATGGTTTAAAGTTACATGACTGCATGATCTGGATTGCTTAAAACATTTGGGGCGGAGAGTGTCTGTATGAAAACAGTAAGTGATAACAGAGGTTGTGATCAACAGCAGCACTGCAGCTCATGTTTGGCCATTTGTGTTAATATGACTTTTTTTTAACAACGCTACAGGAAACTGGTTGAAGTGTTTGCCGCACGACCAAAAGTACTGAGACCAGGTGCAGTGAACTTGGAATTTTACTGCCTTTGAAATGGCTGTTTCAAAGACTGGGTTAGGTAGGCAGTTTGTGATCAATCTGAAAAATTACAATTATAACATGAATACAACTAGTTGCGTCGGGTGCCCTATTGCAAAGACACGTGTTGAATGGGAGTTTCCCTCATCAGTGTTGGCAATTAGACGGCAAATTATTGGAGACGGGTTGCCTGTCTCCAGGAATAGCCTTATGATCGAAAGTGGCCACCCAGAGGTTGAGGATGTTGCACACTCAGCCTGTGGGCGACCAACTGGTAACGCAGCCACTTCAATCAGTCGCTGAATGCAAAAAAAAACAATCAAACAAAAACTACAACTGAAGTTTGTTGTTTGTTTTTTTGTAGATTCGAGGAGGTTGTCATCTTATTTCTCTTTTGGTGTCACTGAGACACAAAGCAGAAACATGAAAACATGCTGAGTATTTACTGCTTCATGCTGGATTCACAGGGAACAACGGTTTAATGGTTTCAGGGATTTTTTTTTATTGTAAACTGAGGTTTGTAAAAATAATTTAAAGACTAAGAAGCTTCATTTTCATTTGATGAGGTCATTGACATTCACCCCAGATTAAAGTGCTGCCCACTAAAAAGAAAGGAAATTGAAATGATTATTACCACCCATTTTAAAACTTGTGTTTGTGCTTATTTTCACTTACAATAACAATTGCCTTTGTTTTGCAACCACAAAACAGGTTATTACATAAAAACATTAGCATGGGCAGTGTCTTATTTTCAACACAATTTCCACCCAGAATTTCCCAATCACTGCATCCCTACTTTCAGCCCACTATCACAATGGGTGCTGCCCAAAGTGGAGATGGCCTGACCCCTCACATCCTCCTGCCTGCGCTGTCTGCACCCCTCCCCCTTCCAGCAACAAGCCTCTGTCCAGACCCCCGGCCTCCTGACCTAATCTAGATGATTAAATCATTTTTTCTTTAGCACAAATTTTGTCCCCCCCACTAGTCTTGTCTGGTAGTTGTCGCACACCCTCCCCTATTGATCGCCATGCTGAGGAGATTACCCTAATAGCTGGGATTACCTCCCCACATGTTGGCTGGTTACTCTAGGGGAGGAGGGGAGGGCTGGAGATGGTGCATGATGTGCAAGTGCAAAGAGGGAGGGGGGGAGTAAAACATATTAAAAAATTAAAATTAAAATCTAGACCTGGATTTGTTTGTTGCCTGTGAGTACTATAAAAGACAAACCAATATTACTCTCTGTGGGATGTAAATAAGACTTTTAAGCACCCACATAACAATCTTTATCATTCAGTGCTATGCTGTGCATGATCAGTCATAAGACAAGAGCTTTTTGAGGCAGGGGTAGACAAAACAACACCCTCCTAGCCCTTTCTGACAAAAATTGGGACCGCTCCTCCTGCTTAGCCCAGCTGAAATCCAGTTTGAGTGCTAAATCAGCCTCAATCTTTATAAAAGGTTAAAAGTTTCAATTATATTTTGTTATAGATTATTATGCGCTATTTTTTGTTTCTTTTGCTTTGTTTGGTACTAATGGTCAGACAAAAGAAGCAAAACACACACCATTTTTTTGACTTTTGGACCCTACTCATCAGTCCTCTCCTGATAACAATACAGTTTAAGTGGCCCATCCACATGTTTCACTGAGGCCTCTGTGGTGTGGAGGCTCGGTGGGTGTTTTAGCTCACTGTTTCTAAGTGCAAGGGGTGAGAGTGGTTAGAAATCAAGATGTTAGACCCACTGTGACACGAAGGCAGGCGGGCAGGCTGAGAGAGAGGCTGGAGGCCATTCAGACAGTGCAGAGCAGAGAAAAGGAATTCCGTTAATCCGCCGCTGATCCGGTACAATGGCAGCCTTGTTGTCTGTCCCGTTTGCGCTCACTTACTCACCACAAGTTTGCGTGCGTCGACCGCCTTCACAGCTGTGCCCGAACAGCACCGGAGATGATGGTAATGGTTAAAGAAGCGATAATGTGTGGAGCTGGCAGGGAGGGGGTGTCAAGTCGCTACATGTAGGAAACAGCCTCGCTTCACGGGACACACGACTTCTCCCGAGTGCGTTACAAATAACTGACATCCATATTTAGTTGCCAACTAACCGACGGGGATGTTGTAGTCAACTTTCGCCAGCACAAACTCAAACCGGAGCACTTCTCGTATAAGCTGCTCCCGTCCGACACCCCACCGGGTCTCTTTTGTTAGTTAACCGTCGTTTGGCTTCACTCCTTACCTCCAGAGGGGTTAACGATAGGCGGCAGGTCGCTCCTGAAGGAATCCCATCACGGACCGAGCTCTCGCCTCGCAGCGGATAAACACTTGTCCACAAACCGAAGGGAGGGGAGCGGAGGAGGAGGGAGGCGGAGGGGGGCTATCCTTTGAGCGGTGTGCTCATCTCCTTTCTGCTCGGTGGCGTCAAAACTTCCGTGTATTTCAATCACAGCGGTGCACCTGAACCGCGGTTCCCGTTCCGCTCCTCGGCTGCTGCGGCGGCCGTCGTCGTCGCCGGGGACATGAGTGACGCGAGAGATAACGTTATTAACGTTAATAACAAGCAAGGGCGAGTGATCTCTGCGTGCGCGCGCCTCGCTTCCATTCACTGCAGCTGAGCCTGACTGCTGAGAGGTGACCGGTGCGCGCGCGTGCGGAACATTGAGTGAGGTCGAGCTCGTGTTTGCGGCCCAAATGGAGGTAAAAGTGTGCCCACACCGCCACTTCACTAATGCCACCTTGAGTAGAAACGAGGAGTTTACGGTTTGGATTATTGTTTTGCGATGTTTTGCAACAATAGTTGCAACAATAATAATAATAATAAAATAAATAATATATAGACTTTTCATATAAGCAAAAAACTTTAAATCCTATTTTAATGGCTTATTAGTTCACACGTTATATGATTTAAAGCAGAGGCGATTCTAGGATTAGAGCTTTGGGGGGTGCTGAGCACCCAGAGAGCTGCCCAGCCAGGCAAGATAAATCATATAATTCTTAAATTCATCAAGTCTCCCTGTCCCTGGGTCCTCGTCTCAAAACATGACATCACTGTTTTGTACATTTTAACACAATTTAATCCCCACATTTGTGAAAGAAAAGCAAAACACTTTTTTTGAAAAGTCTGTAACAAAACCATCAAATCTGATAAAGGTTATTTAAATGCTGCAAAAGAAGAATGGATTGGAATAAAAAAAAAATACATATCCTAACCTTAATTACTGGGGGAGAATAATGAATTGTGCACATAGTGAGTAAAAAGCAAACTGAGTGCATTTTTTGGACAGAGATTCACTTTTAATGTGTATGTATAATATAATACAGATACATAAAAAAAACACTCCCAAAACAGAATAAATTATTACAAATAAAAATCTTTACTGCAGACACTAATTTTACTAATTTAATAATACTAATTTTGTGTCGTGAGATTTATGGGTTTCATTCTTTCATAGTGGTACTAGGGAGAGCTTGACATTTTTATCAGGTGGTACACGCTGTAAAAAGTTTAAGAAACACTGATAAGTGTATGTGTGCTTTTGGAAAACATTTAAAGTTGCGGTACAGAATCTTTGAAACAAGCTGGCTTGAAACATTTTTAGAATATAAACAGAGCACTCTGCTTCTCTTTACAGCTCCTCACACCACCAGGGCACCGTTTGGCACTTTCTGATAGTGTGCAAATGTGGCGCACGTACTGCGGCAGTCATACAGACAACTGGACGGTCCAAAAGTTGGTCTACCCATTACTGGCTGAGGTTTTAGTAGAGTTGTGTCTGAACCACATAAAAATATATTATTAATTTTAATCTCCCCGATCAATTATAATGTTATGTTGGAATGTTGTTAAAGAGGGTCAAAAATGTTTCAAACCAGTTTGTTTTGCAGATTCTGTATAGCAGCTTTAATATAGGGAGAACACAACTTCCAGACTGTATGAGTAAAATAAGGTTTTTTCTCTTTGTCAGTTTGCAATGGCAGATCGTGGCTCAAGAGTTGGCAGTTCGCCTTGTAATCGGAAGGTTGCCGGTTCGAGCCCCAGCTTGGGCAGTCTCGGTCGTTGTGTCCTTGGGCAAGACACTTCACCAGTTGCCTACTGGTGGTGGTCAGAGGGCCCGGTGGCGCCAGTGTCCGGCAACCTCGCCTCTGTCAGTGCGCCCCAGGGTGGCTGTGGCTACAATGTAGCTTACCATCACCAGTGTGTGAATGGGTGGATGACTGAATATGTAAAGCGCTTTGGGGTCCTTAGGGACTACTAAAGCGCTATATAAATACAGGCCATTTTAATAGTTTCTGTTTTGCCTGTCACTGTTCCCTGTCTGTTTTCTTACCTGGTTCTTCCTGACCTTGTACTTTCTCCTCACATTCATCTCTTTCCTCTCTCCCTCTTTGGACTGAAAATCATACACAAATAGATTGTATTCAATTAGATGAAAAATTACATTAATATGAAAAAATACTATTAAGATCACTAACAAAAAGTCCTCTCTCAGTTTACTTTCAACCAAAAGGAAAATAACCAAACCACGTGAACATCTAATAAAAGATATAAATACACATCCAGTCATCCACCCATTCACACACACATTCACACACAACAGGAGTTCTAAGGTTAATGGGCATTCGGTCAGTTAGCTAGTTAGTATCCATTTAAAACAGGACAGTGGTAAAAACAGTAGGCTACGGACAATTTTAAGTTTTAGGTTTTAAATAGCCTGCATACATTTCAATGGGAGCAACAGGACGGTCAAATGTCGCTGATTTTACTACAGTGTAGGACTTGTTGTAGGGTAGCAAACATCGCCTGAAAACAAGTTTTTTTACACCCAGGTTACCTGGGTGTAATGTTTTTCAGCTAAAAAGAAACATGTTCTGACTCCTACCTAACTATATAAAGAGTAACTGAAGGTTAAATGCAGCTAATATGTCCTGTTTTAAGCCAGGCACTAACACCTCCGCTCCGCAGCGTCTCAACCACCATCGCTCTGGCAGCAACGGTGCTAGAGCCAGAGTAGGGGAGAGGCGAGCTGGAACAAACCATTTTGGGAGTGGGGTTCTATACTTTTGTTGTTAAAATGTTATGTCTCAAAAAAGTACTGTATGCTTTTTATATTTTTAGCAGTGTGTCACACAAACAACAAATATTGTCAAAAAAAGTAAGAAATCTTTGGGGTGCTTTGATTCATTTTGGGGATGCTGAAGCACCCCCAAAAATGGGCTAAAATCGCCCCTGATTTAAAGTATATTAGAAGCATATAAATTAAAAACTTCCTCAAATAAATGGTATAGATTTTAAATGCTAATATTTGCATATACAGTCGTTCTATTACATTTTATTTACATAGCACCAATTTAGAACACGAGCCACCTTAATGTACTTTATATTGTAAGGTAAAGACCCTACAACACCAGAAAGAAACCCCAACAATTACACGAACCCCTATGAGCAAGCACTTGGCAACTGTGGGAAGGAAAAACTCACTTTTAACAGGAACCAGGCTCAGAGAGGAGGAGCCATCTGTGAACAACTGGAGATTTTAGCAGCTAGCAGTCTTTTTGAGTTTGATTAAATACAGCAATGGTGTATAGACTCACAGAGTGAAAAGACGTGAGAGAAACATCAATCGGAAATCATCAATCTGTTTCTAATGATAGAGTTAATGCAAATGTCCGTGGGGAAGCAGAGAGAAGCACAACATAAAAGTAATTTGAACCTCTACTTTAGTGAAGGACTTGAGTAAACATACCACGTTACTTTCCTACTACTTATCCAGGTGTTTTGATCACTGTAAAATTAAGAGTACTAATTAATAGAGGCAGACAGTTGATGCAGGTGCTACTTTGGGGGCAAAAACTTTATTATTGCATGTTTTTCTTCTTTATTCTGCTAGAAGAATGTGACAAATCCATAAGCTGAACAGTAATGTGTTTATTTAGACATACTGTTTAGTGAAAGTCTGCTAAATTTTTACCATGCCTTGACTGTACAGCACAGCAGCTTGTTTAGAACATGTGGGCCAAATGTCAGAGATTTTCACAAATGAGTTACCTTTTGAAATCCTTTAAATAGATGATGTAAGAAACAAACTCTCTGTCATGCCAGTTCCAGCAGTATTGGGATCTATGGCAGTGAAGCATATTTTCAGAGGCCATATTCTGCAGCATATCTGTCATACTGAAAGTGAGGACATATTTCAGTAACTCCTTGATGTTTTCATCCCAACCTTATTTCATTTGGCCACTTGGGGGTGCAAAAAGACTGCTTTTATTTCCAGTCATCAAGTTGCTTAAAGTACTACTACTGCTACTTATTTCATATTGTGTAAATCTACTATGCAGTATATGTACATCTATATATGTTAACATAGGCATTGATTATTAATGGATGGCTCATATGAGTGACTGACAGACATGAAAAATGAAAACTTAAGCTATGGGAAGGTGTAAAATATTCAGTTTGTTTTTTATGCTATAATGTGTCTTTCCACGACTTTGTTCACACTATCAGAGGCATTTCTCATAGTCTAGGCTCCCCAGTGATAGGCTAGACTATCTGAGTTATAGTCACCACAACATACAACTGCAAACATTACTATAAAGGTGAATCGATTTCTCTTTTTCAAACAGTTTTAACAGAAACATAACTTTACAAGCAGTAGCGGTGTTTGATACGGGCGACACGGGCGGTTGCCCGGGGCGGCATCGTGGTGGGGGGCGGAATCACGTGCATCGGCAAAAAATAAAAATAAAAAAATTGCTCGGACCCATGCTGCCCCGATGTCCTGCCAGCGCATATTGGGAATGGTATAGGCACCAATCGGTTTTCTGCCGCCCATTTGCTGGGAGTAAGGGCGCCCTCCGTTTGCGAGGTGCGCCTGCTGCTTGCGGCACAGGGAGGAGAGGGCGGAGCGGCGGTGGATTCTCAGACCGGCTGGAGCAGCATCTTATAACCAACCAAAATAAAACTAAATAAAAACAAACTAACAAACACGAAAACACCAGACATTGTGATACAGACTTATAATTTGCACCGATGTTTTTTCGAAATTCTATACACGAAAAGTGAGCGCGAGAGCCCTCGGTGCGCCTGCTTGCTGCTGAAGTCAAAGTAAACTTTATTGTCATCTCCGCTACATACAGTCCAGTATATAGAGACAAGACGACGAGGCTCCAGTTACAGCAGTGCAAGTAAACAAACAATATATATAAGAAGTTTGATGATTTAAAGTCTCACACACAACCCGTGGAAAGGGGAGTGTTCGCCCAGGACGCCAAATAGGACCACCACTGTTTACAAGCAGTTATTTTGGGGTTGTTTTGTAGGTTTTAGCCACATGCACTGGTCCCAGTAGAACAGCAACAATTTAGTGAATACCGTGTGCATTTCATTTTAATTATGTAAGAATCTCCAAGCTGCCCATTGCTTTCATTTTCAAACGTATTGATTTAGTATCACTGAATTTGAATGTTAATAAACTGCACTTACCTTACATGGTGCTTTTTGTTCCTTTTTTTTTATCCTACTATCTGATCACTAAAACAACTTTTTATGGTCACTACAATACCTCAAGTTTCGTTTTTAATTTGATTTTTTTTTTCTTGGTATACTTTGCATTTATTGCCATCAATAGGATTACTATATCTCATTAAATACTAAAGAAATAGAAAAACAACCTCAAGTAAAAGTAATAATCTGCAAAATCTGCAGGCTATTGAAGCCTCAAAGTAAATGTGGTCAGGCTGCATGTTGCTGGCTCAGGCATTTGACACTAGGGGACTCACTCAATCACGCTCTCATTTACATTTAGACTCAAGTTATCTGCTGTTTTCTCATTTTTACACAGGGTGGCGACAAAGCCATGTCTCATTCTGCCCACAGACCTTTGTGCTCCCTGAGGCAACTCAGCTGGCACGCTCAGAGATGGACACACCATTGTGGTGTAGGTGGGATCCATACACTTAAATAGTCCTAGATTTATGGCACCACTGTGGCAACTGTGGGAATTAATAAGTAAATCCCATTGAACTACATTTAAGTGTATTTATCACATCTGGGTATCTGTTTTGTTTGTTTGACACTGGGAAGAGTGATTTATTACCATGTTTAGTTACTGCTTTGGAGGCCCGCCTGAAACACTCAGTTAGATAAATATTTTCAGATTTGGAAATACTCACATTCTTCCGATGATACAAGATCTGCAGGAAATTATCCGGAAATTTCAGGGGATTGCTTAAGCTTAGCTTGGTGCAATGTCTGCAAACAGGATGAAACTTTTAGCCTGGCTCTGGTAAATGTTAACAAAGACCATCTAACAGCTAAAGCTCAAATGATAGCACAGCATATAATCTTTCACAAAACCATAACCCAATGTTTTCAACATTTGTGTTTAATGCAGTTTAATAAGAACACAGAACATAATAACTGCACAGCTTTGGAGATTATTATAGACAAGCCCTGGACAATAACTAATCTGCTATTTCAGTTTTTTCAAAATATTGTTTGCAAAGTTCTCACACAGCTCAGAATCCTCTTCTTTTGTCGCACTATTAAGATAAAGACCGGTCACTGAGGAAAGTACACAGGCTGGAACTAGCATGCAGTTCCTGAAAACCTGTTGCTGGCAGTAAAAACAGGAACACTGAGAGCTGCTTGTTTTGTTCAGCCAGTTTATGGCGATGCCTCAGCTTAGACAGAGCAGCATAAATCAATTTCCCCACTCTTCCGCTTTTTCCCACCTAATCTCATTTCGTAGGTCACTGCTGATGTCCCTTCCACTATCAACAATTTGTAACAAAGAGTCATCTCGGCTGCTCAATCTAATCTCCAAGCAATGACTCGGATATAAATAGAAGAAAAAACAAGAATACAAATTAATGCTGTTGTACTTTTGTGTTCATAATCTTGTGCTCATAATCAATATGTCAAACACATTGTTACCTGTAGCCGCCTGGCAAAGATCCTTAGAGGAAGATTAATCATTCAAAGTAATAGGATTCTGTGGAAGAAATTTACAGGAAAACTGTAGCCTTTTGGAGCTAAATCAAGAACTACCGTATGGTCTATATACTGTTGCTTTAGAAAAGAATAGCAAGTAAGAAATGTCTAAATGCTAAAATGTAGTAAAGCAAGAACTGAATAATTGAAATGTTATTACTTTTTTTCTCAAGAAATCTAAATGTGGATTTTATGTTTTATAAAATCTGTTATTCAGAAGTTTTTGTAGTAAAATTAATAAATCAATTTACAAATTAAAAGACAGTGTAAGAAAAAAATAATTCAAGTTTATAAGCATGTCTCAGTTCTTGCTTCTTTACTTTACAATCAATGTCTTTTGAAACCAGTCAAAGAACAATTACTCAATAAGTAAGTACTATAAATACTAAAGTGTAAGTGTATCTACTATGATACACTTGCATATATATGCAAGTTGGTGAAGACTCAGTGGTTTATCCTATCATCTTAAAGAATATTCCTTGCTCCACCTAGAATCAGGGTCATTTATGTCCATTTAGGTATATGTGGAGCTTCTGCAGTGTGACTTCGCGTGGAAGGGACGTTTCTTAGTGTTTCGAACTTTTTAGCTGATTCTGAATATGCAAACTGAAAGACAGAATGGGGTGGAGCTGCATGCACTCAGAGTGGGTTGCATGGACATTCTTGCTGTTGTCTGACACGATGCAACAGAGGCTACAAAAACCTGCTGAAGACCTGCCACCTTTTGATAGTCGGGTAAGATATAATTATGTAAATTTTATTTCTATTTATGAAGTCGTGGGTAAAAAAACTTTATAACAAGCTGAACTGGATAATTACCGTAATCAAAGACACAGTCTTTGTGTTTTATTAGACCCTTTTCAGTTGCAAGGTGGGATATAAATGTAAGCTTGGCACTGTGCCAGTGTTTCTAACTTTTCTTTAAAAGTAAAGTCCTCACAAGAACAGGGAAACGCGTTACATCTGTCTGCTTCTCTCCTGCTTACTCACATCAGCCAGCTGATTACAAATCCCCGTTCACACACGTTAAAGGACGGCTGTGCTGTGGCTTCGGCTATGTTCACATGTAAAACCAACGCTCATGGAGAAAGACCGAAGCTACAGTCACACTGTTAAACGTTAGTTATCGGTAAGGTAACTAACTTTTCCTCGTTTTCGACTTGACAACCTTCCAGTGTTGTGCCAAAAAGTATTTCCCGGCATTTCCCCCCAAAACTTAATGAATTTAAACGCTTGATTGAACGAAAATCTTTCAAACAAATCTCTTATGAATGATGTCGTGTCATTTTGAGCAAGAAGGACCATTCCTATCAAAAAGTGAAAGCTTTTTCTGGGCAAAGTGGCTGTTAGATATTATTTATGTATCCATCAAAAGTCTCACTGACATTAAAAGTTTATTTTTAAAGACAGATTTAGCCAAGAGGGCGACAGAAACTGTAGCAACTAAAACTCACAGTTCAATGATCATATTTTAATCGACAAAAAGCAAATCCAAGTTGATTATAATGTAAGTAAAATAATTTTTTGTATATATATATATATAGCGAACACTTTCATTAATTCTTCACACTATTTACCAATATGATTATCTACCCTGATATAACATATTAGATCGAATGAAACACATAGAAAGATTGGAAATCAGGTGTTGGCAGACAAAAAATGGAAAGAGGAGAATGAAGAGATGTCGTGTAGCAATACACACATTACAAAAAAAGGATAATGTTTTAAAAAGCATAGAAACACGTTGTGTTCGCCCCGCAGCTTGTAAATGGGACCGTTTAAAAGATGGCAGATGTTTTTGTTTTTAAAGTCCCCTGTGGTGAAAAATGTTCTGGTTATCAAGAAAACTTAAAAAAAAAAATAAACTTACGTTTTTAAAATGTTTAGATGCAAATGTGAAAATATTTATTTTACCCCGTATAACACTGATAGCGATGCTCTGTAATGTTTGCCAACACAGATCACATGCTACAGCCTGTAGATTCGTGTGAAATCAAGCTACACAGAACATACGTTTCTGAACTTGGAAAAAACCCCTGTGCATGCGAGACAGTTTACCTCTGCAGGTTGATGCCATGATTTTTCAAGTGAAAATGTTTTTAGATGATAATGTACTCGTATATATGTCTATGTAATTAAAGTACTCGAACAATTAATTCCTCTAAAGCTATAAGAAATTCACTCTAAAACTAAACAACAACAAAAAATTAAATCCAGGAGTGTATTTTAATGTAAAAAAACATTTCGATTCTTATGTTTTCCTTTTCGCTCACAAATAACAGGTCTCCAGGAGATCTGTTGATCTGTTACATAATGAAATGAAAAAAAATTACTGCGCCTGAAAAAAATAAGAACTTATTTTTGTTTAAAAAGAAATCCTTGTTCATCCGAGGGGCTTTTCCGGCTTTGACCGTCTCAGGGTCCCAGTATATTCACATATTGAGGTCATCTCATGCTGCAGCTTAAAACTTGTAAAATTCAAAAGGAATATTTCTTCATCAAGCAACACTTGCAACACATCTGTTATCTCCAAGATAACTGATAAGTGATTTACTAATAAATCGAGCACTTATCGGGAATATAAGCAATGTGAATCTATTTGGCTGTTGTCAAAAAGAACTTTTATTTCATACAAGAATAACTGCGCCATTACAAACTAATTCTGGGGCTTTTCTGAACTCTTTTAGTGTAATTTGTTTATCTGACAGAGCTAATCTACTTATTTGCTCATAAACTCCAGCGCCTATTATGCAGTAATAACTTCCTCTTTCCTTGCAGGGACCGATGATTGTCATCTAATAAACAGACTGCCAAGACTTACATTTTTAATTTATTGTAGTTAAAAAGAGGACAAGCGGACACATCTCGCCATCTTCAGGACAAACTTCACCTTCACTTTGACAAAATGTCAAACATTGACTTGCACAGACTTGAGCTCTACAAAAGCATCATGAGCAGTTGCGGTTCAGGCACATTCTGTAACAACTCTGAGCTGATTTTTCAAAATATGAGTATTTACAACTGGCTGGAGTTTCCTAATCCTCCCCACTGGCTAAGGATTGTCATCTCTGTGGTCTACTTTATTGTGGCTACAGCTGGAATACTGGGGAACTTGTTAGTAATGTTCCTCCTCTACTCTACTCACACCATCACCACAGGCAATATCAATTTCTTTGTTTTTAACTTAGCTGTGGCTCAGCTAATGTTTTCGCTGGCGTTACCATTTTGGGCTGTTGATACTGCGCTGGACTATAGCTGGCCCTTTGGCTTGGGCACATGTAAGGCCGTGTCCTTATTCACTGGGCTGAATGTGTTTGCTAGTTGCTTTTTCCTCACAGCTATGAGTTTGACTCGTTACTGCTATGTGGCAACTGCTCTCAAACCAGGCGCTTCCTTCTGCAGCAGATCCTGGACTTTCCCGCTGGCCACAGCTTTTATTTGGGCCGGAGCGCTCATTTTGGCCGTACCCCGAGCTGTGTTTGCAGAACTGAAAAATGTGGGCCTTGGCAACGACACAATATGCCTGCTCCGTTTCCCTGTTACAACATGGCTCGAAGTAAACCACCTCCTGCGAGTTGTGCTGGGATTTCTGCTGCCCTACACCATTATCATCCTCTCCTACCTGCTTCTGATGCGCTTCCTCTGTCGGCATAAACTGAAAGGCGGCAACTCTCGGCGAAAGACTGATATTTCAAAGTCGGTGGCAGTGGTGGTGTTCTCCTTCTGGGCCTGCTGGTTCCCATACAACATCCTCACGGTTTGGAGAGCCCTGATTCATTTTGACGTGGTTGATATCAGCCCCTCGTTCTACTCGGCTCAAGCGTACTTTTTCCCTCTGGCCAACTGTCTGGCTTTCACCAGCAGCTGCTTCAACCCCATCATCTACTGCCTGGTTAGAAAAGAGTACCGTGCGGCTCTCCTTAATGTGCTTTTCAAATTAAGTTTAGCCATTACGTCCAAGGTGCCCTATGGTATAAATTCTGAGGCGGGGTCAGGGCAAGCAGGCCAGCTGGGTATTCCAGTCAACAGCATTTTCAGCCACACGTCCCAAACTGACACGAGGAGATACGTCCCTCTGTCAACACTGCCAACTGTAACCTCCACGCTGTGAGGTCACAGAAACACTTACACCTTTATGAAACACGATGGAACAAGGATGGATGCTTTCCGAGGTTTCAGTGTGCAATACGAAGGTTTCCCATCTAAGATTGTGCAAGATACATATTTGAGATATGCTGTGATACTAAAGCTGCACCGAAGCTTTTGTGTTTGCATGAAGCTTTGTGCTTTAGTCTGTAACACTTTGTAAAAATGTATTCACTAATTCAGTATAAATCTAATTAAAAGAGGTCCTGGTAGAGTGCACGCCCCATGTGTGGGGGCTGGGTCCTTCCCGGCTTCCGCCACCAGACCATTTGCAGCCTGTAACCTGTGTACTGTCTCCCCACTTTCCTGTCATGTAACTATCACTATGTAATTAAGGCAAAAAGGGAGGAGATCCTTCCACTGCCTACATTGCTTTGCCAGGTTGATTGCTTAATCTACTAAAATGAAAACTGCTCAGCTGTATATGCAACTACACTCTCATATAGGGTTGAGACGTGATTCCACGCTTAAAATGTCAAGCAACTCTTGCCCTTTTTTAGCATGTAAAACCGCCACCTGCAACAGCTTTCAGCAATCACACGGTAATTGCTCTAAGAATGGCTCTTTCTAGTGTCTTGTCCAATTTCTTTTCACTTGCATCTTCCAGTTGCTTGTACTATTTCTTAAAACACTATACAATAGTTTAAATCTTATGTGTAGATGTATTTGGAACAGTTAGTCAAAATTGTGATTGTGTTGGTTTTACACTGTGCGAGTCATTTGTTTGAATACAAATAAAAAATAAAATCCATCTTAATCTTAAACTCGTGAGTTTGTATTGTGTGTTTGCTCTTCACTCAAGTGGTCCAAATGATGAGGTGGGGAAACAAAATATTGAGCACATCACCAGTTTTCTAGGTTTTCTAATATATTTCTAAATATGAGATTTACATCAAATTCACACCAGATGTCAGTAACAACCCATCCATTCCACACATGCAAAGAAATCACACATGGCAGATCTTGTAAGGTGATGGGAGCAGGCTTGTTTTTCCAGCACATCCTATACTCAAAAACTGACACACTACTGACTGTAGTGTGGGGGAATTTGTAGGCCAATCATCTTGGCCATTTTTGCACATTCTGTGCTTTGTTTCTGGGTGAAATGTGTATATCCCAGGAGAAATTTGCTCTTTTGTTTTTCAGTTCACCTGTCAAATATGGCTGATTTCTGTGTCTCACTTCCTCACTCTCTCGAAAGAAGGATAAAAATGAATATATGTGATTAGTGGTCATAAAGCAGTCTGACACTGGAGTACGCCACTAGATGGCACTATTGTTTTATCTTTAAAACCAGATGAGGCCCAAACTCACAGCATACTAACATTCACATTTCAGAGGAGGCTGTTATCCAGTGAAAATATAAATTTAGTATTTTTAAAAAAATACTTTTTTCAAAGATAGGAAAATATGCTAATTTACTGTCTTGTCTCTTTAACATGTAACAGGTTAGCTTAATAAAAGTAACGGCCTGTTTTACTAATGAAGAAAAGTGTTGATTAAACAAGTAAGGAATAATGCAGTAATAGTGTTACGGTCACTCTGTGGAAGACAGCAGTTGAACAATGCAGCATGACAACAATGTTTGCAACCATGTGCAGTGTACTTGCTTTCAAAGATGGGGACTAGGTGCATGACCAGTTGCAGACAGTTGGCTCTTTAAAGCAACTTTGGTGTTCAACATGTTGATAAAGGGGGTAGTAAGACCGATTCATGTCTGATATCACTTTGCAATTAAATGGGCCAAATGGGGTCAAGTTGGCATCTACGTGCAATCTGTTTGTGATAATGCGGTGATTAAGTGAGATAAATCTGCAAAAATCAGAAATCTGTTGCCATCTGTCGATGTCTACATAGCGAAATCTACCTTTAACAGAAATTCACATTAACTGCTGCCACTCAGAGCCAGACCTTCAAGCTCAAAGGGGGAGCTTGGATTGAAAGTGACTGGACTTGTTTAAGTTAAAGAAGTCTTCGCAAGCTCCTTAGAGTACTATGACCTGGATGACAGAGAACCTGCACAGACATGTCCTCCACAAATAGTGACTTAGTTGTTACAGGATGGCAAGTTAAGAGCAAAATGGCATAGGCACTGGGAAACCTTGCTGTTATATAGGAGTATAACCAGAAAACCACCAGTCTGCAACTAGCTGAGTTGAGCACCCTGTTTAGATGCCTTGGGGCAACTGTTGTTGGGATTTGGTGCTATATAAATAAAACTGAACTGAATTGAAGTTATTGGAAAACCTTTGTCAATCTGTCTGACAGTGATTTTGGTCAGTCTGAGTTGGACCATGGCCTCACTTCACGATTCCTTGGAAACAAGTTGCCTGACACCAGGTGAAATGTGCAATCGCTAGGCAACCAACACTTTATTTTTTCTCTCAGTTGCGAGGAAGTTACCATCCTTTTTTTGTTTTTACTTTAATGTGACTGAGGCATTAGAGGTGTGGATTTTATTTCTTTCAGACTGAGCCTGGCTAGCTGCATTTCTCCTCCTCCTAATTGTCCACTTTCTCCTGATTTACGTTTAACACACAGACACGAGAGTGATTTTAATGTAAGGACAAGAAAGCAGGAGAATACTGAAATATCGAGCTATTCCCTTAAGATGCTACATTGAGTCCATTACCTTCTGCATAATCCTCAAGAATGGCCTCAGAAATCCTCATGGTTTTAATTGTATTTTATAAAGCAACTTACCCCGATAAGTAGCTTATGCACGAATTATTTCTGTCAGTTTTTAACGATGCATAGAGAAGTCATCATAAAAAAAGGAGATCTCTCTGTGTTTTCACATTTAAATGAGCTTTATTGACATTGAAAAACATGACTCAATTCACCATGAAGGTGTGGGCTTCTGCAGACATATAAGTGTGGCAATAATTAGCATAAATATATTACAAGCCAACGGGACTTGTGAAGGAGTTGCTGAGAGGAAACCGAAAGAGCAGCAGAAGCTGTGAAACTGATTCACCTTCATTTTCTTGCAGGGTACCAGACATTTGGTTATCTGCAGTCCTTTGGCATCATGCAGATCTCTGATGGAGAGCAGCTGACATCCCATTACCCACTCAGCCATTGAAATGACAAGGGAAAATGCTAAGCCAGGTTGTTGCTTGAGGGGATGGATTATGATTAGCCTAGTTGTGACACAAGGAATCTGCGAGTTTGCAGAGGACAAGTTCTGTTGTAGTGCATTTTGACTGAAAATAGTTTGGTCTTTATTCCTTTGTAATGACAAAGAAGCTGGCGAAGCTTCTGGCAGTATATCTGAAAGTTTAAAGCATTAAGAGGTATACATTTGGGAGGTATTATAGCAGCTTGAGTAGCATCAGTAAATATAGATCGACTTTGAGGCCAAGCTTGTCAACATTGGAAGATTTTATAACTTTGCTGAATGCGAAACTAAAATGTTGTTATTGTGGTATTGCACCAAATAAAACACTGAACTCTCATTGTAATTATCTTATACTGTGTCATACCACAGCTGCAGGCAGTTGGCTTAGCACAAAGACTGAAAATAAAAAGCAGCAGCTGGGTCTGCCTAGTACCTCCTTCAGCTGAAAAGCTAATTGATATGTTATATTTGTTTAATTCATACAAAAATTCATTTGTACAATACTATTTTTCATTTTTTTAGAACTTCATTGATTGCCTGGCACCACCAGTCTTTGTGTTGTATAAGAGAACCCACTTTTCCCAATAACGGAATAAGTGCGCTTCCTAATTTGTAACACTTTTTCTTTAAGAGAAGCATTTGTTTATTCATTTAGCTCCTTACTTGACTACTTTAGGGCATCAAAACAAGATGAAACCATCTGGAATTTTATCGCCCTCTAAAGATGCCACAAAAAACATGTTTAGCACACACATTCAGCAGCATCCAAAATTATCAGGGGTTTGATATCGTTTTTCTTATGTTTATATTAATTCTCCATGTAACTCTGTGTTTGGACTCTCCTGGTGAAATATTTGGCTCTTTTTAGAAGCAACACGGCTGCTGAGAGTGAACCAAAACAGTAAAGCTGTTCAATAGAGAGTAGAGCTATTGGTTGATATTCTCTGTGGGTTTGTCCTTCTGGATGACCTCTTTCACATTTCACTTAGACATTTCGGCTGTTTTTACTATGAAATATTGATTGGTACAGCTGTCAAGTTCATTTACTGAATCTTAATTTTGCTTATTTAAGACAAGAAATGGATTCAGACAGAGGACTGGCACCTCCTCCACAATGAGTGGGAGACTAAGAATGATCTGGGGCTGTGCGTGTGGATTTTTAATCAACTGCTTTACTGAAAAGCTCAGAAAATGTACCCCAGGCTGTCCCCATAAAAGTCTCACAGTGACTTTTCTGTCTTTTCAAATGTGCTTTTATGGTTCTTAGATATTGAATCTTACAATTCTCCAAACTGAGCGCACAGTCAATTTCAGTATACATATCAGATGTGAATTCGGGGTTTTTTATGTAGCACCAAACAACAACAACAGTTGCTTCAATAAATTTTCTAAAGTAAAAACTGCAGTTTTGGAGAGAAAACCCCAAAAATCAGACAATCTCCTAGGAGAAACACTTGGTGACGGTGGGAAAGAAAAACTCATCAACAGAAAGAAACTTCTGGTAGAACCAGTTTCAGGGAAAAGAGAAGAGAAAAAAAAAGCACGGGGAGACTGAATAAAACATCCACAGAGAAGATACCGCTTAATGACATGCAGCAGTGGTATATAAACCACCATGTTTATGAAGTTTTTAGGGTCAAATACCGTAACCTCGTTTTTGTCTAAATTTAGAAGTAGGAAATTAGTGGCCATCCAGGCCTTTACATTTTCAAGACACCATAATTTAATTAACCAATTTGCATTATCTGCCTTAACAGATAAATAAAATTGGGTATCATCTGGCTAGCAAAGAAAATATATGCAACATTTCAGATAATACTGCCTAAGGAATGTATGCATAATGTAAAAAGGAGTGGTCCCAGCATAGAACCATGTGGAACTCCATGGGCAACTTTCATGTGTTAAGAAGATTCCCCATTAAGATGGTTGGGATCAAACGTGTTACAGTTCAGTTTAAAAGTAACTTACTCAAGTACTTTAAATAACAGATTCTTGATTAGGGATTTAATAATTTATTTAAATCACTCAGAAAAATCACCTGAAAAATGAATACATTCCCTTTGTTCAAACAAAACAAATCATATCAATCAAGTATACTTACACTAATAATAATAATAATTACAAGCGCAATCATACCTACAATAACTACCATTATAAATAAAACTACCAACATTAAACATCCACCACACAACATCAGGGGACTGGAGGGTATGGCTTATCAATGGGGCATGGCTTATTTCAAAAGAAATGTCAAGTAAATTAAGGTATTACATCCACTAGGCCTAATTCAAGTCAGAAATCCCACTGACTCTATATTTGTGACACATTAGGTCAATTGTGCAGAATAATAGCTGCCAAGAAAAATATTTTGCTTCATTCTAAAATGCTATACATCCATTTTAGAAACATAAATATGTTGATGTTAAGTACCCTTATTTAAAATATACAACATATATAATCTCATTTATTGTCATTTATTATCTTGTGTAGCTGCAGCAAAGCGGCAGTTATTCTCCCTTGGGTCAACAAAGGTTCATACGACGTCTAAAATATGTCATGATTATGTAAAGATAAAGCACTTCTTCAGTAGCATCTTATATAATATTC